CTACGTGAGTGGTTTGCCCGGCGCTGGAGGCGAGCTGCTGGAGCTGGAGGTGCTGCGGGTGCTGGAGGTTCTGCTGCTGCTGAGGGTGCTGGTGCCGCGGGTCCCGGAGGTGCTCGTACTGGGGGTACTGGAGCTGCTGGGCCTGCGGGTGCTTCTCGTACTGGAGCTGGTGGTGCTGCGGGCGTCGGTGCTACTGCGGGTGCTGGAGCTGGACCCGCTGCGTTTTCTGGTGGTCCGGCTGGAGCTGGAGCTGCTGGGGGTGTTGGCGCTGAGGGTGCCTCCGGTGCTGGTGCCTCTGAGGGTACTGGAGTTGGCGCTGCTGGAGCTGGGGGTGCTGCTGGCGCTGGTGCTGTCGTTCGGGGTGCTGGTGCTGTCCCTTCTGGTGCTGGTGGTGCTGAGCGGCCGCGGCCGTACTTCGTTCCGCTCCTTGAGCAGGTTCTTGGTCTTCTGCCCTCTGCTAGTCAGGCTCCTCCCTTAGAGTGTCCACCGCCTGTCCAGTCCGAGTCACAGTTACAGCCTTCCTCTCCTCTGCCTGCTCCTTCTCCCTGCACTGGTCCTACTGGAGGTCTTACTGAGCGTCGTGAGCCTGCGTCTCGTCCTGCGTCGCCTGTCCGTGCTGCTCGCACTAGTAGTCGTGGTTCGCGTCCGCGTCCTCCCCCTGTCCCCGGCACGCACCGGATGTCTCTGCGTCCCTCCACTGCTCCGCTGCGTGCCCCTTTGCCTTCTCCTCCTGAGTCCTCTCTTCCTGTTCTTGCTGACCCGGAGTCGGACTCCCTTCGTGCTGCCAGTCCTACTGTCACGCGTCTCCTTGCTACTGTCGTCACTGACCCTTTCTTTGAGTCTGCTGCTGCGTCTGCCTTAGTTTCTGAGCTTGTCGACTTTGCTGCTCGCTGTCGCCTAGACTACGCTGCTAGTCTTGTCGCTGAGTCTGAGTCTGTCTGTCCTCCGTCCGTCGGGGGTGAGTGTGCCCTTGGCACGGACGTCCTTGAGGACAGGCAGGAGGAGTTCCAGTGCTTTGCTGCTGCTTCACCTCATCTCGTGTCCATTGCTTCTTGCCCCTGAGGGAGACCCGGATGCACCAGACATCCCGACTCCGCGCTCTTACGCGGAGGCGATAGAGGGTCCCTACTCCTCTCAGTGGCAGGCAGCCATGGATGCAGAGATGGCTTCCTGGAAGTCCACAGGCACCTACGTCGACGAGGTTCCCCCTCCTGGGGCGAACATCGTCAGTGGCATGTGGATTTTCAGGGTGAAGCGGCCGCCGGGTTCTCCGCCTGTCTTCAAGGCGCGCTACGTGGCTCGTGGCTTCAGTCAGCGGCAGGGAGTTGACTACTTTCAGACCTTCTCTCCCACCCCGAAGATGACCACTCTTCGGGTACTGCTGCACATAGCCGCTCACCGTGACTACGAGCTTCACTCTCTTGACTTCAGCACTGCTTTCTTGCAGGGCAGCCTGCACGAGGAGATCTGGCTGCGCCGCCCACCTGGCTTCACTGGGTCTTTTCCTCCTGGTACCCAGTGGAGCCTCCGGCGGCCAGTCTACGGTCTCCGCCAGGCACCTCGTGAGTGGCACGACACACTGAGGACTACACTTGCGGCTCTTGGGTTTGCTCCTTCTATTGCCGACCCGTCGCTGTTTCTGCGCACCGACACTTCTTTGCCGCCGTTCTACATCCTCGTGTACGTCGACGACTTGGTCTTTGCCACAACTGACACTGCTGGACTCGCCCACGTGAAGTCCGAGCTGCAGAAGAGACACACGTGCACAGACCTGGGTGAACTGCGCAGCTACCTTGGCTTGCAGATCATCCGGGACAGAGCACAGCGCACCATTACCCTGACTCAGTCACACATGGTGCAGCAGGTCCTTCAGCGCTTCGGCTTCACGTACTCCTCGCCTCAGGCCACTCCTCTGTCTACTCGCCACTCGCTCTCAGCTCTGCCTTCGGATGAGTCCGTAGAGTCGAGTGGCCCGTACCCAGAGCTTGTTGGCTGCCTCATGTACCTGATGACCTGCACTCGACCTGACCTTGCATACCCTCTTAGCATTCTGGCACGCTATGTTGCTCCTGGGAGACACAGACCAGAGCACATGGCTGCAGCGAAGAGGGTGTTGCGTTACTTGTGCAGTACGTCGGGCATGGGGCTTGTGCTTGGAGGGCGGAGTCCAGTGGTCCTCACTGGTCACGCAGACGCTTCTTGGGCTGACGACCAGGCTACGCAGCGGTCGTCACAGGGTTACACCTTCAGCCTTGGTTCCGGCTCTGTTTCGTGGCGGTCTACCCGCTCGTCTTCTGTTCTCGGCTCCAGTTGTGAGGCTGAGATCTACGCAGGGGCCATGGCTGCACAGGAGCTACGCTGGCTCACCTACCTGCTGACTGACCTAGGAGAGCCGCCTCGTTCTCCTCCAGTTCTGTACGTAGACAACAAGGCTATGCTGGCCTTGTGTCGGGAGCACAGACTGGAGCACAGAACGAAGCACATCGCTCTTAGCTACTTCCTTGCTCGTGAGCTGCAGCAGCGCGGTCAGCTGCGCCTTGCTTACGTGGCCTCTGAGGCCAACACTGCTGATATCTTCACCAAGGCACTTGCGCCTTGTGACCATCAGCGCTTCTGTACTCTGTTAGGTCTTGTACCTACCTTGCCTCACTTGCTCACTTCTTGACCTTGCTTGTACTGTTACATATATATATACCTGCTCTTGCTTGTTTAGCGTTATATATATGTGTGTACTCATGCATGTGAACTGGCCTTGTGGCCTTGAACTTGTGCTCAGAATGTGTGGTGACGTTGTGATCCACCCTGAGCTTGCTTTGCCTTGCTTTGCTTGACTGGTCTTGTGACCCCTTGTTCTCCCCCACTTTGCCTATGGGGGTGTGTCAAACTTATATGATCTAGCCTGTGTAGGCTGTAGCGGGTTAGATACTAAGGGGTACACAATTCTAGGGTTTCATATTTGTATCACTTTCATTCCTTAGCCAATTCATTCTCGTTCTAAGTTTCTCACACTGAGCTTGCTTGCTTTTCTTGACTGGTGTTGTGACCCCTCGTTCTCCCCCACTTTGCCTATGGGGGTGTGTCAAACTGTTATAATGTTTAGGTTGTGTAGGCTGTCGTGGGGTAGCCCATAAGGGGTTTTTAAGTTGTGTAGGCTGTAGTGTGGTAGCCCATAAAGGGTACAACCCAATAAGGGTTAGTACTTGTACCACCTTTCTGTTCAATGCATTCATTCTCGCTTAGTCTTCTGACACAAATTTCTGGTCGACCAACTTTAGAGGAAAGTTCTGCATGTGCAAGAATTTTGCCCCAGACGGTTTTGGCAAAAACCTACATGCGGAACGACATCATATGCTTTATAACATATCACATGCGCAATGTGCATCCCGTGTACAACGTGCACGTAATTTCTGTTGCGCAACCTACACATGCTTTGGTAGGCGATGCACATGTGCGAGTGCTTCAGATGCGGCTGCAGCGCCGGTAAGCCGCCTTTCTGCTACGATGGCAAGCCGCCTTGCTGCTGGGTGATAAACGCTGCTATTGCTTTCTGTAGTATATCGCCATTGCGTGTCAATGTATGCTTGTTGATTCCTCTTTCCAAGTGAAACTCTTGTCGATCTTCTCCACGAAACGCAACGTTTTGTAGAAGCATATGCAACACTACGATGACCTCGTACTTGACTCTCCGCAACGTAGCACTTTGTGCATGGTTGTTATTTGGGCACGTCTTTGATCTTTGAGAGATAAATTCTGTAATTAGCCATTTTCAAGACCGTAGATATGTTCTACTTCCCAAACCCCCCCAATCCCCCCTCCCCACCCTCCCCAAACATGATGATTTTTTGGCTAATACCGTAGTTATCTGTTTTTGTCCTCAGGAAAAACCAGGCCACGTACTTCCTTAGAGCGCTTCAAGGCAGGGTCACGTAAAACTTGGATGCAGCTGGGCCAAGAATACACAGACCCTGACAGTAGCCGAGGTGGCCAAAACAATACCCTGTTTTGTAGGGTAAACTGGGTACAAAACCCTACAAAGGATATGCCTGGTTGGGGAAAACGTTTGTTTTTTTGGCATTCCAAGCGTCACAATTCTACCAGCGAGAGTCGCCACCATGAATTGACGAGTGCTTGGCATGGTCGCTGAAATCTGGGTAGTTTTTGCAAACCAGCCCGAGTTTCGCGGCACTTCGCAATATCGGAGTACCATCATCCCATGTTTCGGCTCGGCCAACCTGTTTCGCAAGGAACCCCACGCCCATCGCCTCCAATCCAGTGAAATTGCCGAAACGGTTTCCGTCACTCGCAACTGTCGCCTTCACAGTGCGCTCCGTCCAGTTCGATGGCTCACTTGTGGGGAGCGTCGACGGAAGCAGAATCGGTTCTTGCTGGCTTCCAGCAGAATGCAATTTTGACGGTAGATCCACGAAATTATCTTGCTGATCACAGGAGACTCTTCTTCTGGGCGCTCTCGTCGCAACGTAGTAAACTCGTCTGCTCCTCAGCTCCGCAACAACCAATTCTGAGGCTTCTCTGGAAGCATCGATGGTCCACAGCAGCCTCGCACATGTCGGCTGGAAAGACCCACTTTAGTGTAGTATGCACATGATACTTACTGGTTTTATTCATACCGTTAAAACCGGAGTCCCAAACAGCCCCTAAGTGCCTCAACCTTCCTAACTTTGAGAAGGGGTGACGCTGTAGGTACGACTCACTTCGCAAATCGGGGGGACAATTTTCGTCACGCGAAACTACTGTTCTAGCGAGGACGAAAGCAGTGACGATTTCGCCAACAAATTTGAAGCCCGTCCGAAACTGTCTGCGAACCAGTTCTGATGTTGCATTCCAGATCTGGTTATTTTCGCGAAATTTTCTTCCTTCACGACCCCAGACCACCAATTTCGACACCACCCTGGCTCGCGAGCCAGTCACCTTTCTCTCCCCTTTCAACATTCCTAACTTAGAAACTCTTGGACCTCCGGTTTTAATCTCCAGTAGAAGCCATGCCGCCTTTTACGACCCCGAGGGCCGACGCGCGTCGCCATCAGCAGCTACAGCAGCGGCAGCGGAGTCGCGCGCCGTGGCTCGCCGGCTGGAATCGCCAGTGCCTCGCTGCGATCAATCTAGACGTCGCCTGGGCGCGCTTCGTCAAGGCAGTCGGCCGGCGGTTAGAGTCCCCAAACCGGCCGGCTAAGTTCGGTTACTATGCCGGCTGTTACGGCTGCCTAGCCGGCGTGGCGCTAGTCTGCGCGCTTCTCGTCGTCCTCCCGCTCATTCTCCAGCGCCGCGCGTTTCTCTCCCCTTCCGCCTTGCGCGCCGCGTCATCCATCGACCGCGAGGCGCTGGCGCTGGCGGTGGAGCGGCGCGGGCCGTACATCGACTCCGCTGACATCAGCGCCGCATCCGCGTGGCCCTCCGCGCTCGACGACCTGCCGCCTCCCCGCGATGCTTCCGCGCGCGAGTCAGTCGCGCGCGGCGAGGGGGGTGCGGGTGGCGAGGTGGTGACAGGGGGGAAAGGGGAGGGTGAAACGCGGGAGGAGGAGGGGGGGTTTCTAGGGGGGAAACAGCAGGGGACAGGGGAGCGGAGAAGGGGAGGGGAAGCGGAGGGGGGCGCGGAGGCAGCGTGTGCGACAGGAGGCGCGGGGTGCCCGTACCCCGACATTGTCGTGCGCGCCAAGGTAGGGGCCTTCCAGGGTAGGGGCTTTCCAGGGTAGGGGCCTTCCAGGGTAGGGGCCTTCCAGGGTAGGGGATGTAGCCGTTTGAGGCAGGGCGGGGTTTCAGACAGGTGAGCTTCTTACTACCAGGGTGGGCGTGTGGGCGTGCAGTGGAGTGTGCAGTAGCGTGTGTGCTCGCACGCATGACATCCCACGGCACTGCACGCTGCACTGCAGAGCCCTTTCCTTCCCATGCACTGCACCACTCATCGCCCGCGTGAAGCTGCTCCTCCTCTGCACGCCCCCGCTTACACCCCCCCTTCGCCTCCCCTCCCCACACACTCCCCCCCCCCTTCGTTCTCTCCCCTTTTTCCTCCACTTTCCCCCTTCCCCCTCCCCTGGGTCCACTGCGTGCGCGCATGGAGGCGGTGTGTGCAGACGACGCCATCACACAGCTGCTTCGCTTCCCTCTCCTATCCACTTTTCCCAACGCCCCTCGCCTTTCAGCAGCCATCACGCAGCTGATCTCTAAACACCCCTCCCCTTCTCCGTTTCCCTCAACTCGCCTCCCTTGCCCTCCCCTTCCCTGCCCTCCTCGCGCCAGGGTCCACTGCATGCGCGCATGGAGGCGGTGTGTGCGGGGTACGCCATCACGCAGCTGCTCGCCATGAAGCTCTCCCCGCCCGTCGTTGACGCCGTCGGTGTCCCCCACCCCCACGGCCCCCATGCTGGTTCCGCTGGCGCTACTGGCGCTGCGGGTATGGATGCTGCCGCTGCTGCTGCTGGCAGCAGTGGGGGCAGCAGCAGCAGCGGGGTGGTGGAGGGGCCAGGGGTGGGAGAGGAGGGGGTGAGGCAGCTACGGCTGGCGGTGCTGTGGCAGCCGGACAGCGGTGTGTGGGACGCGCACTTCCACCACCTCTTCCACCCGCTGCCGCTCTCGCCCTCCCTGCCTGACGACCACGACGCACCGCTCAACGGGTCACACAACGACTCACGCACTGCGGGTGCAGCGACGGTGACGGTGCTGCATGAGAAGCCGCTGTGGCTGCACTCGCCACACTACGCTGAAGGAGTGAGTCGCGCTTGCTGTCGTGGGGTGGGGTAGTTAGGTGATAGGCTTGCTTCAGCACCGACACTGCCTGCCTATCATTGCCTCTCTATGCTGATGGCGAAAGCTGGTTTATCTGAACGGGAGGGAAGCTTGAGCAGGTGCGTTGCGTTGCAGCACCTGAGCCTCATCCCTCTGCTGCCTGCCTGTCCTCTTTGCCGCTGCAATTCTGTCACTCTCCTTAGGACAAAGGTCAGGCCCTTGAGACATCCTTCTCCCTCTCACCCTCCGTCTCACTCCCCACCCGTCATCCCACCTGTGCCACGTCAGAGGCTCGACCTGGACATCGTGCCAGCTCCAGCACAGTCACCGCCACGTCAGCAGCCACCTCAGCAACCACAGCCGCAGCCGCAGCCGCAACCACAGCCAGGCCATCCGCAGCCGCAGCACAACCCGCACGGGGCACAGCAGGCGCCGTGGCTGGTGGAGCAGCCGCCCATCCCCTTCCCCACCCAACCTCACACCACTCGCCGCCGCCTGCTGGGCACTGGCGCCAACAGGGTGGGCACTGGCACCGGCACTGGCAGGGCGCGCTCCTCCCAGCAGCTCAGCAGCGGCCGCCTGGCCTCTGCCCGCCTGCTCTTCTCGCCTCCTGGGTCCTCCCCTTCCGGAGATGAGCCTGGCACGCAGATCAGTGGCGGGCAGAGCAGTGCTGGTCAGAGCACTGGATGGGGGCAGAGCACGTCACGAAGGCGACTGGCAGAAGCGGCAGGAGGCAACACAGGAAGCTCAGGAAGCACAGGTGGTAGCAGTGGTGGCGGTGGCAACACAGTGTCTGTGAGCCTGCATCTACTCTCGTCCCTGCGCAGTGCTGCTACAAGCATGGAGGTGGTGAGTGCATGGGGTGTAGCAACGGTGGTCCACTGCTGCAGTGCAGTGCAGTGCAGTGCAGGCATGTAGCCCTGAGAAAGGCCAATGGGTGCCACCCATCCGTGCTTCATATCGCTCTACCCTGTCGTCCCTGGTCGTCACTGACTCACCACCCTCTCTGCACCACCCTCGCATAGCTGCATGCTCTCCCTACCTCACTGCTCTCCCTACCTCACTGCTCTCTCCGCCTCACTGCTCTCCTCTCTCCCACTGCAGGCACCAGGCTCAGAGGAGGCGATGGAGCTGCAGGCGTCCATGGTGGAGTGCTATGGCATGCTGCACCCCTCGCCTGCCGTGCACGAGATAGTGGCACGGGAGAACCTCACTCACGTGCGCCACAGCACCGCCGTCTACATGGAGGTATGCTGCCAGAGGCCGTGATGCACGCAGATTACCCACAGGGTGTCAACAGGCATGGCTCCTGAAGCGTGCATAGGGAGGTACCTAGCTGGTATGTCTTCTGTGAGCCGTCTCCCCACACTGTACCGTCTCTCACACTGTGAGTCATGCTCCGCCTGTGTGCCCCCGTTGTTGTGTCCCTTCCACTTTCTCCTCATCCTTTCCTGACCCCACCCCAGCCAGTGCTATCAGGGTGCACGGGGTGCGATGTCAAGCAGGTGGTGAACTGCACGGCGCGGCGCCTCATGTGGCTCTTCCTCGCGCACCCCGCCACCGCCACCACGCTCGCCGCCTTCTGGCCCTCGCAGGCCCTCGCCGTCGCCCACACCTTCCACCCCGCGCGCCAGCCGCACCTCCTCCGCACCACTCTGCACCGCTCTGAACAGTGCCGGCCGAACCCCCAGCGTGGGGAGATGGCACCACCGCCCATCGTGCCGCACCCGTGGACGCCCAAGCAGATGGCGGAGAAGCGGCACCGCGCTGACATGGCCAAGAACGTGAGCCGCGCCGACGCTGCTGCTGCTGACGTGGCGATGAGTGTGGCGAGCAGGAAGGAGCGCAAGGAGTGGCTGGATAAGGCGGTGCAGGAGCAGCTGCAGGCGGAGAAGCGGAGCGCGCGAGGCACGGGCGAGGGCGGAGGGGAGGAGGGGAGCGGGGCAGGAGCAGGAGAGGAAGGAGCGGGGGGAGGGGAGGGAGGGAGTGCGAGCTTGATTGCAGGTATGGACGGGCCAGATGGAGGGGGAGAGGCAGGCGGGATGGACGCGAAGGGCGATGCACGGAGGGAGCGAGTGCTGGAGTTCTTGCAGAAGATGTACGGCCCGGGCATGGGGGCAAGGCAGATGGGGAAGACGGAGGGCGAGCAGCGGCGGCAGATCAGGGCAATGCTGAAGGAGCTCATGGGGCGGGACTGGAAGACGGTGCTGGAGGGGGAGGAGGAGGGCGAGAAGGAGGGCGATGGGGATGGGGAGGGGGCGGGGGAGGGGGAGGGCAAGCCAAATGTTTTCAGTATGGTGCGATTGCGGCGGTTGCTGCAGTCTGAGGCGGGGGAGGATGGTGAAGAGCTGGGGGAGGTGAATGAGTCACAGCAGGAGGAAGGGAGAAAGAAGGTGAAGCAGCGTGAGCAGCAGCAAGGCGAGACACGGGAGCAGCAGCAAGGCGAGACACGGGAGCAGCAGCAAGGCGAGACACGGGAGCAGCAGCAAGGCGAGACACGGGAGCAGCTGAGGCAACACATGGAGCTGGCGGAGAGAGAAATGGCTGAGAGGGAATCGAGGGAGAGGGAGTTAGTGCAGAGGGAGTGGGAGGTGCTGGACGCGAAGCAGCGGTCCATCCGGTGCTCCCAGCTGGAGGCGGCGGAGCTGTTCGCGCTCTCCCACGCGCCGCGCCTCATCCACCTCCAACACTCCCCCCAGGCCGACTTCCTGCACGCGCAGGCCATGGCCAGACGCGCCCAGGAGGCTTCACGGGCTGCGAGTGGGGCTGCGGGGAGGGGGGAGCGGGGCGGCGGGGGGTGGGTGGGGGCGATGGCGGAGGGCGTGGAGCGCGGCGAGGAGGTGGCGCTGGTGCGCGAGGAGGCTGTTTGCCAGGCACCGTCAAGCAAGCCCATCACGAAGCACCGCATCGGGCACCAGCTGATCGTGGATGGTGAGGGCTGGGTGGGAGGGGGGGTGGGTGGTTGGGATGAATGGTTGCAAGGGATGAATGGGAATGAGATGTGTATGGTTTGCAGTGGATTCTGCTTGTGCTGTGTGTATGTAGATATATGACTTAGTGCAAGTGCTCACTACAAGACTGTTTGTGAAACAGGCATGAGCAAGCTGGCATACATGGATGTCATCGCCCTCCTCACCTCACCTCACCTCACCTCATGTCAGGCGAGCGGACATCCTCTCCCTCCCCCCTTCCTGCACGTGTCAGCATCACCTTTCCTTCGTGCCTCTCCTCACACCCCTCCCCTCTGCGCCCCTGTCCCATGGACCCCCACCAGAGGGCATAGGGTTGGTGTACTGCTGGGTGCCCAAGGTGGCGTGTACGAGCTGGAAGGTGTGGATCCGCCAGCAGCACCACGACAGCCACAGCAACGACCTGCTGTCAACGCACCGCCCCTTCGCCTCCAACATCACGGAGCTCTGGTACGCGCTGTCGGAGCCGGCAGCCATCCGCGCCGTGACGCGCCCCGACCTGCTGCGCTTTGTGTTCGTGCGGCAGCCCTTCGAGCGCATCGTGTCCGCCTACCTCAACAAGCACGTGGCGGGCGGCGGGCCCGACGGATGGGGGCGCAAGTTCTGGAATCTGGTGAGTTGGGGTCGCCTGCTGTTTGGGTGGTTCTGTGGTTGGATGATGGGGAGACAAAGGCAGTGGAGAGTGTGTGAGGGGTGCTGGTACAGGCCAAATCCCAGTCTAGAGGCACTGGTCGCTCATAGGTGGGGCAGAGGGGTGCTGTTCATGTAATGACGCTCTTGTTGTTCACCGTGGGCGCGATTCAGGGTTAAGGTTCAGCGACTGATGGTTGTGGTGTGTGCCTTTCAAGCCCTGCCTCTAATGCATTTACACCCCTACTTGGCCCTCCTCTTCCTTTCTCTCTCTCCTTCCTTGCATCCCCATCCACTGCGTCTCCCCCCGTTGCAGAACTTTTTCGGGCATCTGGCGTACTTCAGGCAGATGAACAACCGCACGGGCGGCAACTTCACGTTCCCGGAGTTCGTGCGCCTGGTGGAGTACGGCATGCGCTTCGACAGGCGCAAGAACATGGACAACCACCTCGCCCCGCAGGTGGGATGCACGCACAGCAAAACCACCTGGCGACTGGCGACTAGAACTCTTTCAAAGCGCAAGGGACGGTACCTCTCTTGACCGTGTAGCAGCTGTTGACCACCCCTGTACATGAAAACACGTTCTCTCCCAAGTCCTCATTAAAATGTTTCTATGCATCCATGTTTTTTCCCTCCCACTGGCTTGTCCCTACCACTCTCTCCCATGTGACCAAGACTGCATGCTTTGTAACTTCTGTGGGCCGTGTGGAAATCCCCATGTTATCTGGAAAGTCTTAGAGCGCCTCATGTGACCCCCCTCCCTTGATTGCATGCACACTTCACCTTCTCGCCACCTTTCCCCCTCTCTGCACCACACATCCATCACATCCACACATCCATCACTCCCTCTCTGCACCTTGCCCACACAAAGTACGTTCGTGCCGGCTTCCACAGTGCACAACAACGCTAGGCCCTTTCGTCTATGTTCTTGAAACCCTGAACCCGCGCTATGGTCCCTTGCTCCCGCACCCACCCCCTCCCGCCAGTCGCTGCTGTGCGGGCTGGACCGAATAAGGTACGACCTGGTGGGGCGGTTTGAGCGCATGGAGGAAGACGTCAAGGCCGTCATGACGCGCCTGGGCCGCCAGCCGGGCGATGCGTTTGACTTTGGCAAGAAGATCCACCCCACCAAGTCCAGAGACCAGCTGCTGCAGCTCTATAGTGACGCTGTGAGTGCCCCCGCAGTCCCCCGAGTGCCCTCTCATGCCCACTGCTTTGCTGCTTCCAGGTTGCTTCCAGGTTGCTTCCCAATTGCTTTCGTGTTGCTTCCACCGAAGGTGCCACGTTAAAGCATTGCTGTGTGTGATCGTGCTCTCTGCTGTGCTCTGCCCGCACGCCGTCACTGCCATCACCCACCTTGGGATCCCCCATGCCTCCTCCACCTGTCACCATGTGTGCATCGCCCATGCAGGCCACATACTTGAAGGTGAAGAGCACGTATCAAGCGGACATGGACGGGGCTTTAACGCCGTCCACCCCTCCTCCCCTTCCCCTTCCCCTCCCCCCACTACCATGCAGGCGACATACTTGAAGGTGAAGAGCACATACCAGGCGGACATGGAGGAGCCGTTCAACGCCATCCACTTCGACCCGCCGCCTGAGCTGCGCGACAAGTTTGAACCAAAGCCAAGTCAATACAGGGCCGTATGACATAAAGCACCTGTTCATTCGCTCGAGCAGTAGCCACCCCTCATTCAAATTGTAATGTACAAAAGATGTATGGTAACTTTCCTTGCCATTAAGTATTTTTTCTTTGAGAAAATCCTTGTGGGGTGCATAGACGGCAAAAGCACGTTGAGCTCATCACTTGGAGTGAATCAGTCTGGGGGTGATCCTGAAAGATGGGCTTGGTGGCTAGAAAAGTCGGAGATCTCAGACTACTCATGCTACATACAACTACCGTATAAGATCAGCCTAGGCTCGCCGTTATACACAGCAGCATCTCATATTTCCATGGAAGCCATTCGGCATCGTACCACATCAAAGACAATACTGCATTCTATCCAGGAAGCAAAGGTCACAATTATATCAGTCCAAGCAGCGCATGTGTGCTGTCAGCTGCTTGCACCTGCACCCCGTGTCACCATCTCCACTCTGCTCTTCACAGCCCTCGCTGCTCGCTCCCACGCACCCAGTAAACCATTCATCTCCCCCTCTCCTGCACGTGTGACCCTGCCATTGGCAGTTGAACCACCCAGCACACCCCCATTGCTGCTGCCACCCTCTGCCCCACCTGCTGCTGTCTGCCTGCTGCCGCTGCCGCTGCCGCTGCCACCAGCAGTGCCGACACTCTTCTCCCCGCCCTCTCTGCCATCCCCTCCCCCTTTCACCCCCCCAATCCCCACCTCCTTTCTCCTCCCAGCCCTTGGCTTCACCAGTCCGCCCTCCCACCCCTCTCCACCGCTCCCCATCCCCCCCGCCTCCCCAGCACCACCCCTGGGCGACTCCAAGTACGACACACCGCTGCGCCACGCCACAGCGGCGCCTCCGCCCTCACGAGGCAGCCCCGTGGCGCTCACCACGTTCGACAGCGCCTCGCCCTCCCCCCACTCCCCGTCACCCCCCTCGCCCGCCCCCCTGCCCGCCCCTGCCAGCGCGGCAGCCACGGCCTGCTGGGCCAGCTTCGCCCCCGGGCTCCTCTCCACCTCCACGCCCCCCATGCCCGCCCTCGCCCCCACTACCCCCGCGTCTGCGCTGCCCCTGCGCCCCCCAGCAGCAGCGGCAGCAGCAGCGGCGTGGCGGCGGTGCAGGGCGGAGCGCAGGAGGGCGCGCTGGGCGCGGCGGTCGAGCAGGGGCAGCGGGATGGCGGAGAGGGAGCGCGCGAGCAGCGCCTGGGAGAAGGCCGCGCTGCACTGCTGCTGCGCATGCTCCTCACAGGCCGCCTGTGGGCGTGCATGGGGGCACACGGGGTTGAGAAGACAAGAAGCATTCAAATGGAGGGACCACGAGGGGAGGAGGGGGTAATGGAAGGGGGCCAGGGGGCATCAGTGCGAGCAAAGGGGCCAAATGGATGCAAAGAGGACACTTGAGCGGAGCACGGAGGGATGATGGAAGGCGAGGCATGGCGTGGTGAGCGACCTGTGCGGTGGCGAGGCACGCCATCATCTCCCGCTCCTCACACGCCTCGCGCTCCTTCTCCTCCTCCTCGCTGCCCCTGCCCGCCCCTCCCCCCACCCCCAGCAGCTCCATGACTCCCAGGAAGCCGCCCCCCGCGCCCCTCAGCCCCCACGGCCGCGCTGCCTGGCACCGCTCACTGGCGCGCACTGCACACCCCATGCGCGCGCCCACCTGAGGGGGAGGGGGGAAGGGGGAGGAAGGGCAGGGGAGGAGGGGGAGAGATAGGGGGTGGGAGGGGAGAGATTAATTAACGTGGACGTGGGGGAGGGGGAAGGAAAGTTGTGAGAAAGGGGGGGTGAGGGTGGAGCAGGAGAAAGGAGGAAGGAAGAGGAGGGCGGGGAGAATGGGAGGTGAGTGAGAGCCTTGCTAACGACGAAGAATGCATTCAGCGTGAGCCCGCTCCCACGCTCACCTCGCACTGTTCCGCTATCTTGCGCTCGCAAGCCCCCCACGCGCTGCGCCAGCTGGACTCGTCTTGGAACGCCAGCACCCACGCGCCGCGCTCGGGGCTGTCAGCGGGACCCGCGCGCACGGGCACGCGCAGCTGCGGCAGCGGCGCGGGCGAGAAGGCGACGGTGGTGACGGCGGGCGCCAGCTCCACGTCCGCCGCGTCCAGCCCCCCGTACGCCCCGCCGTCCATGCCGCCTGGCGGGGAGGCGTAAAGGGAGGTGCGAGAGGAAGGGGGAGTGGCGTTGGCAGAGTTAAGTGTCAAGGGAAGGGAGTGCAATGGGCACACGCCCCTCCCCCGCAGGAGCGGGAGGGGAGATCGGTGGAGAACGATAGAGGGTGGTGAGAATGGGAGTGGAGTGGAGGAGCGCGGGTGAGAGGGGAGGCGCGGGCCCAAGAGAGGGGGTGCGTGGCGACAAAAATGTGTTAGGAGCGGCGGCGATGGGCGACGCACCCGAAGGCGCGAGGGGGCCGCTGATGGTGCCTCCCGCGCCGCCCTCCATGCTGCTGCTCCTCCCGCCGATCGCCCGCTGCCGCGGCGGAGTGGTGGCGCGGATACGGTGGTGGGCGCGGCGTTGCGCAGGTGGGCGACGGGGGGCGTTGAGCGCAGGACACGCGGAGATGAGGGTTGGTCCCACAGAAGCTGTCAACCTTGCCGTGGCTCGTCTGCCTCGCGTCAACGCGGGTCACCGTCGTCGCCCGCTGTCGTCCTTGTCCGAATGATCGCACGCGACTAGGCGTAATCAATCTGTTCACACAACAGCGTAGCTAGTGTTTCACTTTCCTGTTTGTCGACGTACCGTTACAAGAGCTATCGAATGATCCGATAACAAAAAATAATTTTAATGCTTGTTACCAAATCGGTTTAGGTGGTTCGATATGGTTGTTCTAGTGAAGATCAGCCTGCTAGATACGTGCGGTTTATAAAATTTGTGTGTCCGGCTGAATTTCATACAAAATCCTTCTCTAAGTGTACTAATCCCCTGAAACTATTTTAGCAGATACTAAATTAAATATGTTGTCACCCAGGGGAACTCCCATCGTCCACCAGAGCCTGCGGCTGGAGTGCATCCCCCCTTCGATCAAAAGCAAGCCAAGGCGCCTTCCTCCCCTCGCACATCCGCCAATGGCGTCGCTCGCGCGCAAGCTCGCCGTTCTCCCCGCAGCTCGCCTCACCGCCCGTCCCCGCTGCTCCTCGTCGCACCTTCCCGTGCCGCGCTCCCGCCATCCTCTTGCGCCTCGCGGAGTCGCTCCGCTTCCCGCCTCCCTGCGTTGCCGCGCAGCCTCGCCGTTGATTTCATCCTGCCCGTCCGTCGCAGCTCTCTCCGCCGTCCCTTGGTTCTCCGCCGCGGCGGGGCGACGGAGCGTGGCGTCGAGCGCGTCGGCGGGAGGCGGGGGACGGGGCGCGCGGGAGGCGGAGGAGGAGTGGGACCGCGAGGTGCTGGTGCAGCACCTGGTGGTGGGCGCGGACCAGCTGCCGCTGCTGCTGGAGCTGCAACGCCGCATCATGGCGGGTGAGAGGAACACGTGTGTTTGATTTTGTTGCGCCATGCGGCATGCATGACTGTTGCGTGAAGGACGTGCTTGCTCAGGCGGTCATTCCAGGCGTGCATTCGCATTCACCATCCCAACCACCTTCACTTGCACCCCACCCCTCACCTCCCGGGTGCGCGCAGAGGGCGTGGATCCGAGCGACCTGGCGGGCAACCCCGCCTCAACCAAATCTCCTCCCCGCCCCCCCCTCCCGCCCCCCGCGCGCGCAGACGAATCGGATCTGAGCGACCTGGCGGCGGAGCACTCGCTGTGCGCGTCGAGGGCCAAGGGCGGCATGGTCGGGTGGATCTCCAAAGGCTCCACTGTCAGTCGTCCCTCCCACCTGCCCCCATCGCTCATTCCCCGCCCCTCCCACCTGCCCTCACCACCATGCTCGCCTCATCGCGCTCCCCTACCTCGAAGCTTGCACATGCTGGTGGCATCATTGCCTGCACCACCCATGTGACCCATCCACGCGCCCACCACGCGGTGATACTCCTTACCACTCCCGCGCTCCATGGCATGGAATGTCACCGCATGGCATGATGTGTGGCGTGGCGTGGCGTGGTGTGGCGTGGCGTGGCGTGGCGTGGCGTGGCGTGGCGTGGCGTGGCGTGGCGTTGCGTGGCGTGGCGTGTCGTGTCGTGGCGCGGCGTGGCGTGGCGTGGCGTGGCGTGGCGTGTCGTGGCGTGGCGTGGCGTGGCGTGGCGTGGCGTGGCGTGGCATGGCATGGCATCAGGAGCCGGAGTTTGAGGAGGCGGCATTCAAGGCGAGGCCAGGGGACGTGGTGCGGTGCAAGACCAAGCACGGATGGCACCTGCTGCAGGTGCTGGGGGACAGGTGAGCCTCCCCTTGCATGTTGCGTGTTCTTCTGCTGCCCCTCTCTCACTGTACTCGTCGCATGTCCCATGCTCCCTCTCCCTTCTCCCATCTGCGCCCGAGCGTCCCGACCTCTTCTCTTCCTCCACTCCCCCACCCATCCCCTGTCCCTCGCCCGGGCGGCATGGCGCCATCAGGCACGCGGCGGTGTTGGACCAGGTGACGGTGGAGGAGTTCGCCAGGCGCCTCAGCGAGGAGTACGTGCTGCCGCCGCCACAGGGGGGTGCAGCGGGCAGGTGGGGCGCGGACAGCGAGGGGCGGTCGCTGGAGGCAGAGCTGGCGGAGGTGCAGGCGGAGAGTGAGGGAAGGCGCGCCGTGCAACTGGTGGACGTGCGCGAGGAGAGGGAAGTGTGCGTGCATGCCTTCCCTCTGCTCATCCCCATGCCCTGCCATGCCGTGCCACACCATGCCATGCCCTGCCATGCTGCCATGTTTGGTTTGCCCATCTGGCATTGATGCTTCCCTTCCTGCTGCCTTCGTCGCCCCCCCTGACTTGCGTTGCTTCATCCTCCCACTCTTCTCACTCCCCATCCCCAAATGAACCACGCCCTCTCTCCCTTTCTCTCCCCCCCCTCCTCAAATCTGCCATCTCTGCTGCCCTGTTATGCTGTGTTGTGCCCTGTTGTGCTGTGCGGTGCTGTGCTGTGAAGCGCAGGGAGATGGCAGCCATCCGC